CATCAATTTCGCCATTTTCTTTTAATTCTTTTTCTATCCTATCTACACATGCATCAATTATCACTATATTGTTATTTTTTTTTCTTTGCTCTCCAATCCATTGTTAACTTTGTTAGTTACGGTTGATACACATTACTTTCTCTCTCTCTCTTTTATTTATTTATTTATTATTATTATTATTATAAATACATAATCTTATACAAGTATCAAAAAAGAATTCTGATACATAATTTCATATTTGAATTTATATTTCCAAATTTGTTTTTCAAATATTTAAACTCTAACTTCTCCCTAGTAACCGTATCTATACCACTTTGGTTATATATACCTCTTGTATCAGTATTGCATATTTGAATAAAAAATTAATGTTTTTCTTTCCTTATATCCATAACCTTTAGTGGAAGTGATGTACTCTGGGTGCATTTGTCTCTTTTTTCATTAAAATCTTTGTAATGAAAACCTCAACATATACATGTACATATTAATTTCAAAAGTTTCCACTCATTTCCTTGTCTTTGACTTGACTTGGATCAATTGTAGAATGGCCACATCATTGGAGCAAGAGATTTAAAGTTCGAACAACGAGATCAGAAACAAGTGGAATGGCACAAAGCTACATCAGTGTCCAACGACGAGTCTTACGGTCAAGGGTATATAACGTTAACTCCAGAATCCACTGAACCTAATTATATAGCTTCATACACTGCTAAGAAACACAACCATCACCATGAAAAGCTCCACCAGCCTTACACAACCTACGATTCCAATGCACCTTACATAGCTGGGTACACTACTAGTTCCCATGTGACCCATAATCATCCCAATTACATTGCAGGGTATAGGACTAAAACCCATGATTCAAATGCACCTTACATAGCTGAGTACTCCCATGTGACCCATAATCATCCCAATTACATTGCAGGGTATAGGACTAAAACCCATGATTCAAATGCACCTTACATAGCTGAGTACTCCCATGTGACCAATAATCAATTGAGATCAATTTTAAAATAAGAGTTAATTTCATGTATGCTTCTTATATTAATTGGGCGATTTTGATATTAACGAATGGAATTAAAGAGGTGTTGGCGATGAGGTTTGGATCTCCTCCATTGAAGTCCAATACCAACATTACTGAGCCTTGGCATGATTGGATTTTTCAAAATCCAAACCATGTCCATTTAAATGGATTGCATTCAAAATCAATATCCATATTAAAAAAACAAAACAAAACAAAACAAATGGGTTTGGACGTTTTGAACCAGCTTTAAAACTGATTTCAAACCAGTTTTATTATTGAAAGCCAATTTAGTTTAAAAGTTAGTTTTTGAATAGATTGATTTTGAAGCATAAGTTTATTTTAAAATTTAAAACTGATTTTAACCTGTAAATCAATTTTAAAACAAAATCTGACTTTAAAACTAATTTTAAACCATAATCATTTTAAAATTCAATGTAAACCATAATATGTTTTGGAGTACAAAACTAATTTTAAATAGGGGCGGGGTGGGTAAGGTTTGAATTTAAAATCCATATCTATAATCTTTTAAAAAAAAGTTGAATTTTTTAAAAACAGATTATGGTTCAAAAATGTTTTTAAAACAGATTTAACTTCAACATTGGTTTTATACCATAAACCGGTATTAAAAATAGTTTTAAATCATAAATTGACAATGCATAAAAAAAAATGGATTTTGAGTTTTTTGACGATTTCTAATTCTTATTCTTATTTTTAATAATAACTAATAATTCAAACTTAATACGCTCTCTTTTATCTCCTCTTTAACAAAATATATTTATCTAAAAATACCCCTTTTCTCCTTTATTTTATTTTTCAAGATAATAATTTTAAAATATTAAAGTTCAATATAAAAATAACGATAAACACATTACAGTGACTATAAACATTTTACAAAACAATACTCAACTGAATAATTTGTCTAGTGTCTACTGTTTTCTATTAACTAGACTTTGAGAGGGCAAAAACTATAAGATAATGCTATACCTGTAAGCATGATAAGGAATTTAAACATTTTTGAACTTAGATAGTGACTATAATATTAGATTTTGATGCTCCAATAATTTATTTGTAGTGGCAAACTGCAGCAAGTTATTGACAACAGCAACATCAACCATTCTATATGCTTATATTTATATTTTACTTCCTGCATATTGCAAAACGACAATTTTTATTTTATTTTGTCTTCGATAAATAACAAACCATTATTTTTAAGGTAGTCTTTAATATCAAAAGCATGACTCTTTTTATTAATATTTTCTCTCTTGTTTTTTTCATACATGAATATTGAGGTTGAACTAATTAATACAACATGTTCAATAGATTTAAACTCTTTTCATTCTAATTAATATACATCGACAATTTTTTTTTCTTCAATTTTAACAAGGATTATTTTAATTGAATCATTTTTCATACAAAATTAAAAAAATTATGTGATTGAAACAACACTATCTTAAATATAGACTTTTTGGGATAATGTAAATATGAGAGGAGAAATCCACTTTTTTTAAGAGTAAGTCTACCTGTATTTATTTTACTTAATGATTAGTGCTTTACATCAAATCTTAACAATTCAATTGTTAAAATAAAAATTCTTAATACATAGATTAAATATTTGATATTTCATTTCATTAATTTAATTTGACGAATAATCATAAAAGTATTTGATAACGAAGTATCAAATAGTTTTCAAGTTTTTAAAAAAATTACAGACTTGATTTATACATTAAGAACTTTTAATTCAATAATTTAATCGTTAAAAAAATAATATAAAACATGAGTATTGAATGGAATAAGTAAATATCTCTTATATATATACATCCTATTATCTTTTTTATAAGGTATTTTTAATCAAATCATACATACTGATATAATTAGTTATATTAGTTGATTTTATTGGGTTTATAAATTAAAATCATAATATATCAGTTTTATCTTTCATACGTATTACTATCTCTTTTCTTATTTATAAGACCTAACATAGAATAATTATTTATACATTTATATAAGAGTCAATTCATATTGTCTCATATATTAATTATTTTTAAACTAAAATACTCATAATTAATACATTAATTATAAACTCTTTAAAGAGAAAATGCTTTAATTGATTAGGAGAAAAGTGAATATTGATTAAGAGAGATAAATAATATAAGACATATACTTTAATTAGTTAATATTGATTAGAAAAAGATATTCTAACAAGGGTAGTTTTGAGAAAATAAAATAAAATATGACAAATTTATTATTATAAACTAAATTAATTATTATTTTTAATCTGATTGAATTAATTAATTAGGTCTCATAAATAGGAATGAAGATGATATTAATTTATGATATGTGAATATATTACTTCATGTCAAAGTCTATAAATAAATATCAATAAAATTGATAAATAATAATTAGAGAGTTTAACAGAAAGAAAATATTTATTTATCAAATTATTTTCTCATTATTCAACTAGAAAAGATACATATTTTTACAATTTTTAATAGGAACAAATGATGAAAAGTAAAATTAATATTTTATAAAATTTGTAAAGTGTATTTTAAAAAAGATCACCAATAACAAATGCATACAGTACTTATTAAGCTAACTATGACCAATATTATTTTATTTTGAAAAATGAGTTAACATCCTTTTGAACACATTTTCTTGAAAGAATTTTACTCTAAAACGTAAAATTTGGTGAATTGTAAATCATATTTAATAATTTTCTTCTAATTTTATAATATTAAATAAATTTTAATCAATAAAAAAAGGGGCATTAAAGAGTATTACTTGTGTAGTTGTCTCTTTTGGGTTTCTAGCCTCTTTCTCATTAAAAAAAAAAAGAGAAAAGAAAAAGGGTGTATTCCTAATTATCTCATTATGACCTCAAGTAATGAAGAACTAAGTAGATAAGAATAGCTTAAGCATTAGTATAAGCATTATTTGCAGCAGTAATTTTTTTTAATTATTTTAGCTGACAGCCCCAATGACGTGACGAGTTTCTTGAGGCGTAAGTCTCGGAAGCAAGTCAATGCTACGGATCCCAACCCTATGCATTTCTATTCTACGTCTAAACGTTTAACTTAACAAGTGTAAAATAAATTAACTTAAGTACGGTATTATATATAATCATAATTAAAATTTCATTTCAATAATATTCAATAAAGAAACAGATCTATGTTAAATATAAATGTACATTAACACGATGAAACTTTAATATTAACAAAAAGTATCATAAATAATAAATATGATGCTATATCTAAATTTTGTTGGAAATCAAAATTCATTCTACCACACAAATACTAATTTCTATATGCTAGTATAAAAGTATGAAGTTAATTAAGTGGAGAGAAAGGAAATACAGATGATAAAAATTTACGTAGCGTTTAGTATAACCAAAATACAGAGAGAAATTTAAGAATATTTAGTACTATATACATATATTTGTGTATGTGTGTGATTTTTTTATATTTATAATCTAACGCGCACATTATTTAGTTTAAGAAAATATTTTTTATTTTCATTTTCATTTCAATTTCAATTTTTAAAAATAATTTTCATTTTCAAATTTATAAAATTTAAATTATGTTTGTCTTGAAAAATAATTTTTGTTTAAGGAAAAATAAAAATATCTTAATTATAATAACAATAACGATGATAATAAAAATAATTATAATATGATAATAATGATAATAATAATTAGTAATAATAATAATGATAATAATAATAATTAAATAATATAACTGATTTGGTTACTTTTAATATTATTAGTTTGCGTACATACCAAAGAATTGCAATTTTGTAAGACTCCATTATTTACTGCCTTTTCTTGTCTTTTAAGCAATTACGTACGTTATATTAATATTTATAAGTTGGAATTTGAAAGTATTTGCGTGGTGGATGGGGTATTATTATTCTATCTTTTTGGTGTTCGTAATATTATTCTCTAACGACATATTAAATGGATAAACCTCTCCCCCCTAGTGCCTATAAAAAGCTTACTTACTTCTCAATCCATAACCAACACACTACAAAGATGCCTCCTAATCACTTTCTTTCCCTTTTCCTTCTGTTCCTCTTGGTAAAATATTCAATTATGCATGCTCTTATTTTGAAACCAAATCAAATTTGGTTCAATTTTTTTATCTCATTGTACAAATATACCAATTACTTTAGCATTCTATTTTTAACGTTCGCTAATTTATGAAATTCATTTTAGTACATACTTTATCTTAAGTATAATATATTTATGTAGTTTTTTTTATTTTATTTTTACTTTCTTAACTAGGAACAACTACCATATTAATATTGTGAATAGTATCTTACAAATAATGTACATGGTATTTAGAAAAAGAATACAACTTTTTAACCAACTCATTCCATATTTAGCCTTGGTTACTTGAGGTCTCACACAGTTTCATGAACTTAATGTCTCTCTTCCTCCTATGTGTGTAACACGTAAGATTTTTTCCCAGTTGCACCATGTATGCATCATTAGTAGACTAAAATTGAGTAAAAATATGAGAATTTAAGAGTTTTAGGTAAAAGAAAACGTTGAGGAGACTAAAGTTGCATAGTTTTTTAAATAAAAGAAGTTATTTGACTTGAAAGAAAAAAAAAATCGAGAGATCAAAATTAAATATAATTTGAATTAAGAAGAAAAATTGTATTTAAATATTTATTTACACCTTATAAAGTATCAATCCACCCAACCCAAATAGAGAAGAAAAAGAATAGGAAAACACTCCTTTTCAATAAATATAAGAAAATGTTACATAAAATATGAGTTCATGACATATTAAAGTTGACTTGGTAGTAAAAAATTAAAATAGCATACATAAAATTTTATAGGCTTAAACTTTAATATTATTTTTATAATTCTTGTAAATAAAAAAATCCGTTCATCTCTTTTAGCCATACTTGTAGTGTGTAATAATATTTTTTTTATGTAAAAAAAATAATCTATATACATTTAAAATCCACTTGAAAAATTGTAAATATATATTATTTTTATTTATCATCTCATTTTCACATCAATTTCGCCATTTTCTTTTAATTCTTTTTCTATCCTATCTACACATGCATCAATTATCACTATATTGTTATTTTTTTTTCTTTGCTCTCCAATCCATTGTTAACTTTGTTAGTTACGGTTGATACACATTACTTTCTCTCTCTCTCTTTTATTTATTTATTTATTATTATTATTATTATAAATACATAATCTTATACAAGTATCAAAAAAGAATTCTGATACATAATTTCATATTTGAATTTATATTTCCAAATTTGTTTTTCAAATATTTAAACTCTAACTTCTCCCTAGTAACCGTATCTATACCACTTTGGTTATATATACCTCTTGTATCAGTATTGCATATTTGAATAAAAAATTAATGTTTTTCTTTCCTTATATCCATAACCTTTAGTGGAAGTGATGTACTCTGGGTGCATTTGTCTCTTTTTTCATTAAAATCTTTGTAATGAAAACCTCAACATATACATGTACATATTAATTTCAAAAGTTTCCACTCATTTCCTTGTCTTTGACTTGACTTGGATCAATTGTAGAATGGCCACATCATTGGAGCAAGAGATTTAAAGTTCGAACAACGAGATCAGAAACAAGTGGAATGGCACAAAGCTACATCAGTGTCCAACGACGAGTCTTACGGTCAAGGGTATATAACGTTAACTCCAGAATCCACTGAACCTAATTATATAGCTTCATACACTGCTAAGAAACACAACCATCACCATGAAAAGCTCCACCAGCCTTACACAACCTACGATTCCAATGCACCTTACATAGCTGGGTACACTACTAGTTCCCATGTGACCCATAATCATCCCAATTACATTGCAGGGTATAGGACTAAAACCCATGATTCAAATGCACCTTACATAGCTGAGTACTCCCATGTGACCCATAATCATCCCAATTACATTGCAGGGTATAGGACTAAAACCCATGATTCAAATGCACCTTACATAGCTGAGTACTCCCATGTGACCCATAATCAACCCAATTACATTTCAGGGTATAGGACTAAAACCTCCTAGGATACCCTTTTGTTTGTGGGTTTCCTAGAGGACCTTGCCCTAATTTTTGCACTGCCCCACAGTGAGTTTCTTGTGGGACTTTTGTTTTTGCAGCATTTGTGATCATCTTTCATTCCTTCATTAAAGGGCGATGCCCCTTGCACTGATCTCGTTTGGAATTTTATCCACAAGTCATGCCAAGTTTGATTGATCTTTATGTGTTCTTTTATTGCATATTAAGCCATTGTTTCTAATGACGTCCTTATTTCAAATGTACTTGTTCATTTAAGGTTTGTTGACGAGGCTTAGAGTAAATAAAAGGGAGAAGAGAAATAAAGTAGAAAAGTGTATGGCTTTAAAATAGAATTTTCAATTTACACGTGCCCATTTAATATAGCTCGAGGGCCCGTTCATGCCCTGAGTTCGTGATTCATACATAGAGAAGTAGAGGGAGGTTGCCCTTTAAAGAGGCCTAGGTTGCCTGACTGTAGGGCTAATCCTACACTTGCTTGGATATGGCACTTTAGAAGTTCTCGTGTAGAGGGAGGTCTTTGGCTTCTTCTCTCATGAAGGTGTTGTCAACCCATATCCTGAGCCTTTCCTAAGTAGGAATGAGTAGAAGCGATGATAGAGTTTTCCATGGAGTCTTGCTTTTCAAGAAGAACATTCAAGCTGTCTCTCAATTTTCAACTCGAACAAACATTACTCTTTTTTTTTTTTTTAGAATGCCCTTTGCGGGTTTTCATTCTAGTAGCTTCTTGAAAAGAAATGCTTCTCTCTTGTTGAAATCATCTTTCAAGAAAGCTCTATTCACTTTGCCTTAGTGTTTGAGGGATTCGCCTTCCTCAGGTTCTCTTTACTAGCTTGCAACTTGTTAGGAGTGTGGATCCATCCATTCCTAGTCATCTTTCCATTCCACTTGGATTTCACGGTTGCACAACACAACTTTATCTTCTTAGGGCAAGATTTGGCGTCTTAATGATTGTGGAGTTCTTTACCCTCAACTCTTTATGCGTGGCTTGCTTCCATTACTTCCAATTAACGCACATAGGTTAATTTCCCTTTTTATTCTCATTTATTCTTTTACAAAGAGGGATATGTTCTAAATGAATGTAATGCAGAATGTAGAGAAAGTTGAGAATAATAAATATCAGTCTCATTGATTTGTTTATTTGTGAATGCTCAAATAGATTTCGACAGTATTAAGCGAGAATCTATATTAGATTCTAAGAATACTTACTTCAACAAACATATCAAAGCAAGGGCCCAACCATAGTATTTTTTTAAAATTGATTTGAGCTTCTCTTTAGAGAAGCAAATACTATCATATATTAGAGCATTCACTTTTCTTAACTTTCTATACGTATTGCAACCTAATCCTCCTTAGCTAATAAAATAAAATTAATGAAATTAATGAGCTAATTTAGAATGCGTATCATATTTTTTTGCCTAATCTTTATCATGTTTATATTGTCTAAAGGGAAATGATGCATGAAGATGAGATTTCTTTTATTTATTTATTTCTTTTCAAAAAGAAACTACTTATATGATGCTATGATATGATGACCTATGAATATACAAAAAAGGGTATAAATTTCTCTATTTTTTTATATTTATTATCAGTTTGCTTGTTTTAAAAATTTAATCCACTCTTATTAGAATAAATAATGTAAACAAATGTACACACACATGCTCAATAAACATACACCCGCGAACAGTCACGTTTAAATCCTTGGTCTGTGGTCCCTACAAGAAAAGTGCATTGTATAGGACAGTTCTAATCTCACTGGTCTTAAGGCCCCCAAGGTGGCCCCATTATAGGGACCCGGTATCTCTATCGCCGTCACCTGGCAAACTCTAAGGTCTGTCGCAGTATTTCGGGCTAGAGTAACCGGTTATCACCTTGAGTGTGATTTCTGACAAGGCTCGCAGGCTCTAAGGCCAAACTTGGGTCAGTCGTACGTCAACCACTCCCTATGTTTATTACCCTCATACCCCCGGGTGTAGGGGGGACTGTTGTGTGCAAAAGATTGTGTACAATTTTATTCAAATAGGTGCGGAATTTAAACAAAAAACAAACAAATATTAAAGCCAAACAAATAAAACAAATAAAGTAAAGGGGAAAAATATTTAAATTATTATTTTTATTTTATTAACTTCATCAATTAAATCGGCCTGACCCTCTTTAAACGTCCCTAGTGGATTCGCCATCTGTCGCAACCCGAAAATTTCCGATTATGGTTTAGACATCCTTTTAAAGATCTCATCAATTAAGGAATGCCCGAACATCAAACTAATCCTTAATTAATGGTTTTGAAAATAGGTTCTATGGAGTCGCCACCAATGTTTTACTCAAAACATTGGAAAAAGAAAAGGGTTTTTAAAGTCCAATAATGACCTTGATAACCAGAATTGGGTTCGAGGATCGGTTACGTTTAGGGAAGGTATTAAGCACCCTTACAACGCCCTCAATCGGTACCCTATGATGAAGTTAATGTGATAAAAAATAATAAATTAGATATTAGATCCCCTTTATGAATTACTATTTACATGCTTGAAATTTAAATTACACGGTTGACCCTAAAACGTCTACATGATTGCTTTTGTTATAACAAAAAAATAAGAAATAAAGGAAAGAGAAGAAGATTAAATGAAATACCTCGTCACAAGCTTTGTTAGATCTTCCAATATGGAAAATATAGGTGCTTTGTAGAAACCTTTCACACTACAATTGACTCACACTACTCAAGAAATACAATAGGAGAGAGAGAAATTTCGAGCTCTAAGGAGTTCTGGATGAAATTTTCGGGGTATGGAGAACTGTGCCCAAGCTGTCTATTTATAGACTTCAGAAAGGGTCCAGAACGGCCCGTTCCAAAATCGGAACGGCCCATTCTGGATCTGATCGTTACGTGTTAATTTAGTGTATTGGAACGACCCGTTTTGAAATCGGAACGGCCCGTTCCACAGGTGCGTTTAACACATAATTGCCATTCTGGAACGGCCCGTTACAAATTAAGAGTTCAAGCCTTTTTTGTTATTTGGAACGACTCGTTCTAATTTGGGAACGGCCCGTTCCAAATGTAGGTTTTAGCCTTTTTGAAAGAGCCTGGAACGGCCCGTTCCAAATTTGGAACGGCCCGTTCCAATTTAGGGTTTTAGGCCCTTTTGATTCATTGATGATTGATTTTTGTGGAATGGTTGTGGAATGAAAGACTGCCCCTAGCTAGATGGGCAGGAGATGTTTGTTATGCCCCTGTGTTGGTGGGCAGAGAAGTTGATAGAAGAAGTAGGAGAAATGAAGATGTGAACTCCTCCAAGCTTCTTCTAGGCACGGATCTTCTTCAAAGGAGATGTAGACCGAATGGATGGAAGCTCAAAATGGATGAGAAATTGCGGATTAGAAGACCTAATCCATAGAAGGAAGTATCCAAGCTCAAGCTACAAGGGATTGCACACTTCAAAGGGAAGGAAACTAGGTTTTCCTAAGGAATTTTGAAGGCACTCTCTAAAGCTCTCTCTCTTGGAATTTCGGTGACTCTTGAATGGCTGAATTCAATTCAGATATCTCATATATTCAAAAGTGATTACAATGTGTAGGAGAAACACTTTAAGTAGGGACGGTTTTGGCACCTAGACTAAACTACACAAGTTGGCGCCTAAAATTTGAATTCAAATTGGAAATTTGAATTCAAATTTTGGTGCACATGGGTGTGGCCGTGAGTTTAGGTATCTAATGTGCATCTAGGTCTGATTTGAGAGTCATTTAGGGTTAATTTGAGTGTCACATGTTCAGCCACCAATTGGTGCAAAACATGTGACTCAAATGTAACTTAAATGGCTTCCAAATTAAACCTAATTTAACCTAGTTAACCTACTTTAGTATTTCTTGTATTTTCCTAATCTAATGACCTAAATACAATGGTCAAACAAATACAATGGAAAGGAAAAATTACAAGAATGAAAATGAGCCCAATATTGGGTACCAAAAGCCCAAAGGCCCATGAAGCCCAAAACTAGGCCCAACAAGCCTAAAACCTAAAATGCTACTCTATGTGGTCCAAAATACAAGACCAAAATATATGATACCTATACTAACATGATGTATACAAAACATATGAAAATAGCTATAACAAAATATGGCCCATGAAAAGTTCAACTTGGGCCTTCCTAGGCCCATTGGGCCCGATGGGCCCTGACTGGCCCAAACCTTCATGTCTAGCCAACTCCTCTTGGATCTTTGAGTATGTCACCTCTTGCACTCCAAAGCATGATTCCATCAAAAGTGGATGGCTGGCCGGGATTCCAGTGTTTCCCATGCGACGTGAGTATTGTGGAGTTCTTGATTAATGAGACTTACTGTGAATTTTGTATATACCTCTTTTTAGAGTATCTGTACTTTGATTGTTGGTTACAACACAACTATAAGAGATGAAACAACCTCATAATCTTTTGTAACCTTTGTTGTAAGGGTTAAGTCTAGAGAGGCTTTTTGTTTAAAGAATACTTTGTGTTGGGCTTGGAGACAATTGTTTTAGAAAGAATACTTGGTGGGGAGCTTGAAGAGACTTGTTTGAAAGAATACTTGGTATTAAGTCTAGAAAGGCTTGTTTTTTAAAGAATACATGGGTAGTTTCTTGAAGAGGCAAGTCAAAGACTACATAGGATTAAGCCAGAAGTGGCTTGTTGAAAGAATACTTGTATCTTGTATAAAAGATAGTGAAACTCAATCTGGTTAGATTGAGAACTTGACATAGTCTCAATGGTTGAGATGAACTAGTATAAAAATTTAGTGTTTCATTTGACTCTTCTTTAGCACTTCATTTGATAAGTTCTTTTGTTCTATGCTTCTCAAGCCTGTAATTTTTTTATACACATTATTTAACCCCCTTTCTAGTGTGTCTTTTCTCCATGGTTTTGCATTATTGAAGCTATGCACCTTATTGAACTTGTCTTCAATTAAAGGGCACATGATGGAGTTATGAGCCTTTGAGTTGAGTATATATCTTTACTTTTTCTCA